CCAGGGCACAGGGCCTCCAGCCCCGCCTCCGGCTCCGCCCCCGCCGCCGGGTCGAAGAGGCACGCGGTCCCCGGCTGCGCCTACAGCGGGAGGCCCAGTCACTAGACTCTGGCGGCGGGACTTCCGGCCGTCTAGCTCCCGCGAGAAGCCGGCCGCTGTGGGTATTTGTAATCCCATTCTCTTAAAATCAGCTGCAGAGCCCTTTAGTCTCTACACCTAACAGCTTTGAGTGATAGGGCAAATCCTCTCTTAGCTTCGTCATGTTTATAGCTAAGATTTAACGCGAGGACTTAGAATCAGACCTGGGTCAGTAGTCTCACCTTCCTCCTTTCCCAAGGGAATGTCATCTGGACTTGACTAAATCAGAGATTAAAATGCCTGTAAAGCTTTTCCACTGTGCTTGATTTGTAGTGAGCTGGTCCAGTTGCTGACTGCTTGTGTTTCTGTCGTGGGGGAAACTGCATGCATACCCCCTTAGTCTACCAAGAGGAAACTGGTTGTATTGGTGGAAAACTTCTACAGCAGGTGCTCCAATAACGCCTTTTCCTTCAGTTTGTTTGTTATAACATTGATGAGATGCCAAGAATTTAACTCTTGTTTATAGTAATTAGCCTAAGGTAAAATTGATTTCCTTATATATTATTTCCCTGCAGTTCCAAGAACCTATCCATGACATTACGTGAGGACTTACTATATAGAGTTCTCTTTTGAAACGAAGAAATCCTGTATTTGAATTAATCTTTAAGAATCAAAATTATTTCAAACTTAAAAATATTTATAACCTAATCCCACTTAATAACTTTACAAGAATCTGTCCTTTGTAAAGCCTCTAGTTTGCATTGCATCTTTAACTTTTTTGTCTGGCAACTTCAGTGTCTTTCTATCATCTTGGTAATTTTAGTGCAAAGGTACAAGAACATACAGCTTAACTTGAAAAATCACGGCAAGCTAACGGTTAAAGGCTTTGAAAACTAAGCAGGAGAAAAATGCGCAGACACAAACTATAGAAAAGTCATGCATTCTGGCTTCTGTTCTCCTCACTTGACCTTTGTTCTCATGTTAAAAGAAAACCACAGGCCCACAATGGAGTCACTTATGCTAGGCCACATCACCGAATGGGGGCTTAGTACTTAAGAGAATTGTAGTTTCGATTTCTAACTTCTTTTATTTCTGATTTTGAATGTACTAAATAATAATGAAATAGTGAAAAATCAATACCTACCGATAACTTCTGTTAACATTTTACTATATGTATCATTTTTTTCTGTATGTAGATTAAGAAAAATAGCATCATACAATAGACATTTTTAATACATATGATTTTTAGTAACATTTATCATATACAATTAACTTTTATCCATAAACGTAGGTCTATATCATAATTTTTAATATCTATCAAGTATTCCCTACTGAAATTTTGAGGATTATCTTTCTTGAAAAAGCAGGAACTCTGGCCCATCTATAAAGTCTAACCATAGATGAGTAAAGAAGAGGAAGATAAAATAGTAAAAGTAATTAGAGTGATTTAAAATGTGTTGTTTGAATATGTCTAGTGCTTGCTTTGGCTGCACATATACTAAAGTTGAATATGTCTGTTATGATTTGAAATTTCTTTAACATTATTTAGTTTCTTTAAAACTCCCATCTTCTTCCCAATAACACCAGATTCTCTTTGGGGATCCATATATCTCCAGAGAATTTGACTTCACTCGCCTTCAGAGGTGATATAACTCTGATGTAACTGAGAAAAATTTGGCTATCAGTATATTTCATCCCTTTGGACTCAGCAATTGAGTCAAGGTGGGCATTGGCTCTAAGGTACTTTGATACAATTATCTTAGGACTTTTGCCAAGAATGCTGAGGTTTTGTTTCCTGTTGGACAGGGGAAGATGCTGGCAGCATCCTGGGATCATAAGAGGAGCCAGTATTAGAGTGATGTACACACCAAGGAAGGCACGACAGAGAAGGAAATAAATGGATTCTTGATGACGAATTAAGTTGTAGAATCAAGCCTCACTTGAAGCCAGTCAGCCTTTGGATTTCTCTTTCTTGTGAGCCAATCAAATTTTTTTTCTTTTTTTGAATTTTTATGAGTTTATTTGAACCAAACTGATGACAATTGCAGGGAAGCAATATCTCAGTGGATTGAGAAAATGCTCTGGAGAATGGCAGTTTTGCAGCTTATATATTAGAATCAAAGGAGGAGATCTAAGGAAGGTTACGTGAACTCCACTGATGGTAGATTAAGGGGGCAAGAGAAAGCAAAGCAGGGAAATCTCTGGAATTGGATGAAAAGTGAAACAGAGAGACACATACTTCTTGGTGGGAACGGGATAGTTAATAATTAACATTTACAGCATATAGAGATGGTATGTGGGAAACAAAGTAACAATGAGGGATTCTGTGGTCTTGTGCTCTGGTGCAGTGATTGTGCCTGAGGGGTCTGGAAAAGGAGATTATTCTGACATTTCAAGATTTGTCGTCTTAGGTACAAAAAGACAATAGACAGTTCCACTTAAGGTAAAGATTGACCTTTGTCAAGGAAGCTCAGGCCTAGGACATGACTACCTACCGTGACTCGCTTTTAGTTAGGAATTTTTATATTCAGACCATCCTATCTGGTTACTTTCAGTCTCTGAGTTTGTAAGGCCTGCCTTTCAGGCCTCTCCTGAGAATATTAGGTTTAGTATGTGGCCTTTTTTCCATCTATAATTCTTTCTTTTGGTCATAAATCAATCTGAAAAATGAATTGATGACCAATCTCTTGGTTAGATAATGTGGTCCCATAATGAAAGAAAGCCTCATTCCTAGGAAGTCTTAGCATTGGCATTGGTCATGCTGAAATGGTGGGTCATTGGGGATGGGACAAGACCATAACCTTGGGTGGAAGGCAAGGCCAAATTTTTCTCAAAAGGGAAAGGCAGGTAAATGGGAGGCAGTCAGGTTTTATGGGCCTTCATTAAGAAAAAGTACTCTGGATCATTTCTAACCTATAAGCTATTATGATCAAAATTTTGCTTTCTGTCTCACTTCTCTGTATTTTGCATCTAGCATAACATTTACTTATGGTTTGAGGGTACAACTACACCTCTTTGCTTTTCACCATCTGATCATGAGATGGATCCCTATTTACTGTTAGTAGTGGTATTATTATTATTATTATTATTATTATTATTTATTATTATTATTTTAATATGGTCCATCTGCTTCTCATTGGAAGCACTCAAGTGTCGTTTATTATTAATCCAATTCCTGCTAGTCGTACTATTAGGAATTGTAACTTTAAGATTTAATTGAGCCAATCAATTTTATTTATTGTTTAAACAAGTTTGAGTTGGTTTTTTTGTCTCTTCAAATCAAATGGACAGAAAAAAATCCCAACAGTTATTATCTCTGAGTAGTAAAAATACATGCGATTTTTTTTTTCTGTATAGGAAAGTTCTACCAAAATATGTGTACTAATTTTATCAGGAAAAAGTCTGAAATAAGTCTTAAAATGTATATTTTGGCTATATAAAAATGGTGAACAATACCTAATAGTAAATATTTTTCTAAAACAAATTTAAAAGCCACTACTATGTATTAAACGAAGTAGGTATACAAAATCCACCTATAAAATAACACAATTTAAGAGCACTGCAATAGTGCAATATATGAACTCGTACTAGGCCAAGGCCTTGTTTTTATTAACTATTATATCCTTACCACTTATAATAGACCATTCCCTACATACGGTAGGTGTTCCATAAATGGTTCGTGAATGATTGAATAAAAAACATAATTGCCTATCAGCTATCCAGGATATTAAAGTGTACTGCTATTCAATGGGAGCTATTTGTTACAAGCAACTGTGGTATAGTTCTTTTATAGTACATGATTTATTTTTTTCCAAATTTTCACTTGGCCCAGGTTTATAGCCTTATTTAAATATTCTCCTAAATTATGCCTTCTTTTTGTTATTTTAAATGCTATAATTAAATAATTTAAAATAAAATAAAATTTTAGATAAAATAATTTAAAAGATAAAATTCTGAAAATTATCTTCTAATTTAATATGTATAATACTCTCCTTTCAATTTGCTATTAAAATATTCTAATGACATTTCCAGTTTGGTGAACATGTGGAAGCTATGGGAGAGTGGCACTCTTGGAGAGGGCATGGAAGCTCTGTACGCCTCCCCACATAGCTTGCCCAATGCATCTCTTCTATCTGGATATTCATCTGTATCCTTTTACATATCCTTTTATAATAAAGTGATCAATGTAAATACACACACACACACACACACACACGACTCGAATGTAGCTAAATAGGTAGAAGCTTTTGTCTGGGCCAGCACTTAAGCGGAAAAGCGATGAAGCCAGAATTAGATTATGAAACTGAAAGTTAAATGGAGGACTTTGATAAAATAGGGTACAGAAACCATATGGTAGAAGTGTGATGACTTTACTGGCCATCCATTTTGTTTCAGGATGGATTTGGATGGATTTAGCTTCTTGATACTTGGTGGTTTTGTTTTGACCACATTTTTTTTTTTTTGAAAGAGATTAGAGATCAGGAACACAAACGTGAAAAACAAACAAAATACTCCCATTTTTACTACTAGTTTGTTCACTTAAAAACGTACTCAGAAGGATGCACCCAAAAATGGCACAGATGATAGAGGCTTTGTTCATCCCTCTTGTGACCACATGAAAGTTGAGACGGAAACACAGAGCAAACAGCAAGCAAAGTCTCCTGGGATCTAGATGAACAGAAGCACTACAACAGGGAGAGAAGTAATTAATCAACCTGCAACAGTAGAAGGTAGGAGGAGGCAAAGATACAGGGCTGCCTGCCTGGTCTTGAGTGGCTGAGTGAGACAGAGGCTATGGCAGTGGCAGCTGGCAGCTGGCAGCTGCAGAGACCTC